AACCTTGATCTCTTTAAGTGGCTTCAAACATCTGTTAAGATCCTGGAAAAAACCAATGCAGACATGTTCCTGTTTTTAGTGTTTTACATTGCTTTACGTTGTAGCTGTTTTGATTCTTTGTTTAATATCATTTTCTTTAACTTATTTTTCCCAATTTATAGCCTTTTTTTTTGTGATTGTCTACTGTTGTCATTGTTGTCATGACTCTTTGTTAAAATTCAGGTCTCTCTTTTGTTAATGAGTCCCCGAGGCTCAATGAGACCAACATAAATAAAGGTTGAATGAAAAAACAAACAGAAGCTGAGCTGTTCTGCTACGTATAATCGTTTCCTCCGTGAAGCAGTTTATGGTTTGGTATGAAGCGAACAGAAAGCCACACACCTCCTGAAAAGAGGCGAAGGAAACTGCTGCCGTTACAGATTTTAGGAGCCGATTTTTAGTCAACAGAAGCCAAAGGTGGTGGCATCAGCCGAACCAGTCTCTGCTGAGACGTCTGTGAAATTCAGAGCACGTTTCAGCAGAAATGAACGTTTACTGAAACTGCTCGGGGCTCTTGTATGTCTGAGTGAACCCCCATTATTTTTTAGGCTGCAGATGTTTTATTTATTTATTTATTTATTTTTAGTGGAGTCATTATGGTTTGATTTGTCTTCAATACAGAGTGACGCTGCCATCTAGAGGGTGACTTTAATGGCGTCGCTGACCAACTCAATGAAGCTGGCCATTAAAATGCACTTATATATATGTGTATATATATATATATATATATTTATTTTTTTTTACTGATTATTTTGTTTTTGTTTTATTATATTTTATTATTCATTATACCTATTTATATATATGTATTTCTTAAATTTTATTTTATTATATTTTTATCTTTATTCATTTTATTAATATTTTATTATTATTAAATGTATTTATCATGCATTATACTTTTAGTTTCTGTATGTATTCCATCCATCCATTTTCTTCCGCTTATCCGGGGTCGGGTCGCGGGGGTAGCAGCCTAAATAGGGAGGCCCAGACTTCCCTCTCCAGCCACTTGGGCCAGCTCTTCCGGGGGAATCCCGAGGCGTTCCCAGGCCAGCCGAGAAACATAGTCCCTCCAGCGTGTCCTGGGTCTTCCTCTGGGCCTCCTTCCGGTGGGACGTGTCCGGAACACCTCACCAGGGAGGCGTCCAGAAGGCATCCTAACCAGATGCCAAAGCCACCTCAACTGGCTCCTCTCGACATGGAGAAGCAGCGGCTCTACTCTGAGTCCCTCCCGGATCTTCTCACCTTATCTCTAAGGGAGAGCCCAGACACCCTGCGGAGAAAACTCATTTTGGCCGCTTGTATCCGAGATCTCATTCTTTCGGTCACAACCCAAAGCTCGTGACCATAGATGAGGGTAGGACCTCCTCCCTGACCCGGAGAGGGCACTCTACCCTTTTCCGTCTCAAGACCATGGCCTCGGATTTGGAGGAACTGATCTTCATCCCGGCCGCGTCGCATTCGGCTGCGAACCGCTCCAGTGAAAGCTGTAGATCATGATCTGATGAAGCCAAAAAGACCACATGATCTGCAAAAAGCAGAGACGCAATCCTAAGGCCACCAAAACGGATCCCCTCAACACCTTGGCTGCGCCTAGAAATTCTGTCCATAAAAGTTATGAACAGAATCGGTGACAAAGGGCAACCTTGGCGGAGTCCAACTCTCACCGGGAACAA